CCTAGAACATCCGTTCATACGTTTATTTCCGTGTGCTTCGATTTCCGTGCGTGGCCCCTAAGATCAGGAAAAAGATGCGGGATGTTTATTTTCGTGCGTGATGTTTGGAACAAGCATAAGTACAGGGATTATGAGGATTGGGGCTCATCGTGATGCTGATTATGTAGTATGAGAACTATACATCATTTGGGTAGCACCGAACGATACCAATACTTATATAGACAATATTTCTTTACTAGTCTATATATACTATCTCCGAAGCCCTACTTCGAGCTGACCGTGCACCAGCAGAACTTCCCAGCGATCCTTTTTCACGCCGGGGGCTCGGCTTCGGCTTCACCCAAACTCTTTCTGCCATTGCTTGTTATAGAGTAAAAGCGAAAGCCGTATCGTGCGGATGGCACATGTAACATTGGAGCACCTTCTGGATATTCGAGCGACACGTCCAATAAAGTCTTCATCTTGCCAACAGTTCATACCTAAGTTGCTCACTACACTGCTGGATCTGGTTTGCTACAGGGGATTGATAAACCATTGGCAGCAACAACCGGTAACCGGATACTCAAGCATCATATAAGAATCAGCGTGTATTCCACACCAGGCGATTGCCTTTCTCAACTTGAGCACATAGGTCTCGCCTGATATGTGTGCACATGGCTAGTTTTTTATACAGCTGTTGCCGCTGACGACATTACGTGTAGAAGAAATTGAAAACGAGGTAGCCAAGGAACACTATGTGCAGCATCATGTGCAGCTTTGGTCTGATTTTGAACAAACACCACCGTCGTTGAGCCGTGTGGAAAGCCAGGGCACTGACTCCTTCCTAAGTTCAGGGGGGGCTGCGGGGACCAGGTAACTTAGAGGATTGGTAGTATGGTCATGCATGGTATGGTTGTAGCAGAAGTGCACACATACTCCAGCCGTGACGGGCAATCTTTGCAGCGCTTGAAGTCGGGATCCACATCGCATGGTCATATAGTCCCCGGAAGAAGGCATTTGTACTCACGAATGTCCACTGGAGCAGCTCGTAAAGCTCTCTGTCATCGACAGCCTTTAGCCGATCGAGTTAATTATGATTGATAGAACCAACTAAGTTTTGGAATAAGCCTAGACATTACATAATTAATAGGTCAGGCCGGGTTTCTAGCTAGGGCTATGTATAAACTACATATGTTAATAGGATGAAGCGGCTAAAAACTTGCCTAGGGTTCTGATCCTTTTAGACAGACAGCTACGACTTATAATAATGCTACGAAAAAACAACACATATATCCTATGCGATATCGAGAATCAACCCTGTTGGATCCCCCCTCTTGGCTGAGCAGGTCCCCCAGCCATTCGCAAAGCAAAATCGTATCCGAGCCTTTCCCGGCACCTTTGGGAAAGATTTGCAGCCTGAGCTCCGATAGAACTAGTGACAGATCAGTTTCCCAGCAACCGACACTTTATAAACCCTTCCATCCTGTAGGTGGATACTATATGCCCCTAATTGTATTGCAAAATGAACTACCACAACTTTCCATCCATTCGAGGTGGAGAACGTCTTCATCTTGAATTTCAGCAAGGAAAACCCATCCAGGCTCGTGGATTTGCGATTTCGTCTGCACCAAGCGATAAAAGAATCGTACAATGAATGCAGCCTGTCCTGTATGGATCGCCCTCGGCAAAACTTTAGTCGCGCCAACAACACGACAGCAGATGTAGCCAGTCCGGAACCTATGCCCTGGATAGCGAATGTATGAGCCGGGTCAGTGCGTAGACGCCACGGGTCGTCGGCTCCCGGTATGGATCGCAGCGGGCTAAAGTAGGCTTTCCACGGGGGGGCAGCTGGATCATCCCTTGTCCAATTACGAATAGCTGATGTAGAAGAGCAACTGTACCAGTCCTGCCATACCCACAAGCATTAGCTAACCGCATGATCCGAATGTTCATTTTCAGCCTACAGAGTTACATCAGTCTTCAACACCCGACCTCCTGCTCACACATGTGACAGATCCTGTTGCTTGAGAAACCTGTCTTAAGACAGAAAGCTTTGCGGAGCCACACCCAGTCTCCCTTGCACCCCAGCCATGCCATACGGAAGTGGTACTTCTCCCCGGCATGTTCAACCTCATATATATATAGGACTTATAAGGATAGCTTAAGTGTGGTTACGGTTCGGACCAACCTACTAAAACCACTTTGAATTCTCGAAAAGATCTGACATGGAGGCACATCCAGACCATTCCAAAAGAGAGAAGTGCAATCATCTGCCAAGTGCTTCAGCAAGTTGAAGATTGTTGTGTCACCAGTGTAGCAGCGAGCAGGTATCACTGTATAAAGTAGGCGCGAACAAAAGCTGTGCCTCACCATTAACAAACTAACAAATCAAACTAGCCTAGGCTGATATTATATATATACAATATCTTTTTATATAGACTACATAAGTATAACCATGCAATGCCTATATTAGCATATGGACGAGTGGCCCACTTTCATTCAACTTATGCTTCCCAAAGTGCGAAAGCAATCCTTGAAATGATATCACCATCACAGGCTGCTTGGTTCGGCCTCTGCCTTCGTCGCCGTGAAGGAAATACGGCAACGTGCACTTGCGATCCAGGCTTTCTGTGTACATCGGATGGGTTGGGTCTACTTGTTCATAATGGTCCCAGAATTCCTTCAGGTCCTGCTGCCACAGATGAACATCGGATATATGGTGTCCTTGTAGTAACCTGGTTGGTTATAATATATTATAAGAACTGCATATCTATATAACCCATATATTTTCTAAGACTTCTACTTTGCTAGAAAGCACTGGGTCTTGCAAGGGTACTATGGATTCTGTACACGGCAACTCAAACAGTGCAAAAAACAGCCGAGCAACATCTGCCCACCTTGCTCAAGAACCCGGCGTGCCCAACTTGACAGTTTCAGTATGGGCCACTCTATGCTCTTTAGCTTCCTTGTTCGGGCATGAAGGATCTTGATCTTTGCAGGTGTGATCTCGATTGGGAGTGTAAAATTGGGCTTGGAGAGCAGGCGGTGGAGGTTCCGGCAGGTGTTGGCATCAGATCCCCGTGCACATTTCCCCAACCTCTGCAAAGTCGGATCACGTAGCCCTGCAAGGCAAAGGAAGTGGAACATTATAATTAGAAACATATATGGTTAAGATTTCTAGGATTATGGGGTATATAGAATTTAGGGGTGTGTAGGGAGAGACTATGTTTGCAAGCCTCGTCGTTCCATCTTCTCGTGAGCCTTCTTGGCTAAACGACAAGTTCGGGCAGCAGAGTCAGCCTCGCTTGCAAAGGGTTTGGGAGCATTAACACAGCCTACCTACTGACTTACATCCCTTAAGTGTAACAAGTCCCATCAACTCGTTTAGGCTACAGCTGTAGGGAGCCTGTATTCTGAAAGGTTCTGTTAACTACTAACATAGACCGCGAGTATGGCTTGCCTCTATATACAACCTCCATTTTAATAAGTACCAAGGAGCCTTGGAACCGTAGGGTACTATTGGGGCGATGGAGTGTTTTAGGGTTTAGGGCTTAGGGTTTATAGGGTGTAGGGTTTTAGGGCTTACAGGCCTTATATAGGACGTGGGGTTTGAAATT